CAGCCGCTCGAACAGGGAGCCGTCGCGGACCCAGCGCATGCTGGACTCGGCGGTGCGGATGATGCCGTCGTCGACGGTCGCGGCGCCGCGTGCCGCGTGGAGCGCGCGCTGCGCGGCGTCGTAGAACGCGGGCCCGACGCCGGCGGCGCCGAGGATTCCGCGCGCGTGGCGGTAGGTGAAGAGATGAGGCTCGACGGGGAGGTCGACGAACGGCTCGAGGTCGCTGTCGCGGAGCGAGAAGTCGCCGCGGGCGCCGTCGTCGCGGAGCGCGCCGAGGAGGAACGCGCGCGCGGCCTCCTCGGGCGCGTCGCTGTCGTCCTGGCGGAGCTCGTCCGCGGGGCGCGCGGGCCCCGTCCGCCGCGACCGCTCTCGCGCCGCCTCGTCGATGTCGTCCTCCTGCTCGCGGAGCCAGGCGTCGGCGATCTCCGCCGCCGTGCGGCCGCCGCGCTCGCGCGCGGCCGCCGGCGCGGCGACGGGCACGCCGAACTCGTCGACGTCCTCCTTGGCCTTGGCCTTGTCGCCGCGGCCGAGGCCCGGGTCGAAGGCCAGCACGTCGTCGTCGTCGTCGTCGTCGGCGTACTGCGGCGACGGGCTGGGCGCCCGAGAGACGGGCGCCGTGGACGCCGAATCCTCCTCGAGCGCCGGCGCGGGCGCCGGCGCCGGAGTAGCCGCCGGCGCGGCGGCGGGCGCTGGCGCCGGAGTGAACTGCTCGCCGCCGCCGGCCGCCGATTTGAAGACGAAGGAGCAGAGCGCGACCGGCGTCGCGTCGCGCGCGTCGCCCGCGGGCTGCCGCGCCTGGTAGTAGTCCACCAGGGGCAGGTTTTTCGCGTGGTCCAAGGGCGGGTAGCCGGTGGTCCCGACCGTGCCCGGCGAGTCGAAGGCGGAGTCCACTTCTCCGGGTCCGCCTACTCGACGACGCTCTGCGCGGGCTCGTCGGCCGCGGGCTCGTCGTCGCTGTCCATGGCGTCGTCGCGCACGCCCGTCGCCGCGGCGCCGCCACCGCGCACGGTGTCCGAGATCCGGGAGCACACCTCCGGGTCGGAGACCTCGAAGACGGCCTGGCGATCGGGGTCCGACGCCGGCCCCAAGTTTTTTGAATTGTCTTTTAAATTTTTTTGAGTCTATCATTCTTGTTTCACATATAGAGCATATCAATCTGATAAGGCAATTAAACTTTGAATTTTCTATGAATTGGTTGCCTAAGAGCGAATATAAGGCGGGAGCTTGCCGCCGTTCACGAGCTCGACGAGCCCGCTCTTGTCCGCCTGGCGCAGCAAGATGAGCTCCTCGATGGAGCCGCAGATGACGACGCGGACGACGTGGCACGGCCGCGTCTGGCCGAAGCGTTGGATGCGCCCCAAGGCCTGGACGTCCGTTACCGGGTTCCACGACGGCCCGAGCTCGATGAGGTGGTTTGCGCCGACGCAGGTGATGCCCTCGGTGCACCGCTTCGAGAGGAACAGCACGCGCAGGTCGCTGTCCGCCGCGTTCAGCGATCTCAAGCGCCGCGCGCGGTCGGCCTTGCCGACCTTGCCGTCGATCATCGCGACGACCGACGCCCCAAACGCCGAGCGAGCCCAGTCCTTGAGGATGCGCAGGACGCCGACCATCTCGCACACGACGACGGCTTTCTCGCGCGTCGTCTCCAGGATCCGGCGCAGCAGGGCCGCCACCTGCGTCGACGCGCGCTCGTCGCGCGCGCTCTCGAAAAGTCGTCGGACGCGGGGACGCGCCATCTGCGTCCCGCCGGACAGCAAGACGACATCTTCCACGCGCTCGGGCCACGTCGGCAACGCGCTCCGGACGATCGCGCCGGCGACGCTGCCGGACTTGCGGGCGAGCTCCGGGTGCATGCACGTACGTCTGCCGCAGCGCCGTCAGCACGCGGAGCGCGCTCTTCTGCTTGCCGGAACCGAGACCCAGGCCGGAGAGTCCAGCCATGATGCGACCTGCGGCGGCCGTCTCACGCGCGAACCAGGTCATGGACGCGGGACGACGCGCTTTGGAGCTCGCCCGCCAGGACGTCGACGCCCCGTCGGAGCAGAGCGTTCGCGAGCTTCTCTCGTAGCAACGTCTCGGCGACGTCGCCGGCGAGGCGCGCGGCCTTGCTCGCGCCATCGCGGCGGCCCGCCGCGATCGACCCGCCGAAGAGCGCCTCGAAGCAGTCCAGGCCCCGCGTCCGCGCGAACGCGTCGCTCTCGACCAAACACAACAACGCGCGGAGCTCCTCGAGGCAGTTGCTGACGGGTGTCGCGGTCAGGAGCAGGCGCCGCCGCGTGGTGAGCGAGGCGGTCGCGCGCGCCGTCACCGACAGCGAGTCCTTGAGGCGGTGCGCCTCGTCGAAGACGACGAGGTCGAGCACGGTGCCGCCGGCCACGAAGTCGTCCGAGTGCGCCCGCATCTGCTCGTAGCTCATCACCGCCACCAAAACCTCGTCGTCGTCGCCGTCGTCGCCGACGGCGCTGAGGCGCTTGAAGAGACGCGCGGCCGTCACCAGGGCGGACACGCCGGCACTCTTGCCCGCGACCGCCGCGACCTCGACGCGGACCCCGTCCGCGAACTTCTCGAACTCGGCCTTCCAGACGCCGACGACCTTGGCCGGCGCGAGCACGAGGATGCGCCGCGCCAAGTCGCAGTCCGCCAGCGCGACGATCGTCGCGATGGCCTGGACCGTCTTGCCCAAGCCGGGCTCGTCGGCGAGGACGCAAGCGCCCGACGGACCCGACAGCTTCTCGAGCATCCAGCGCACGCCCTCGCGCTGGTAGTCCGCGAGCCGCGCCGAGAGCTCGGCGGGGACGATGGGCGTCAACCCGTCGCCCGCGGCGCCGTCGACGCCCGCCGGCGTCGGCGCCGGCGCCGGCGGACGAGCGCCGGCGGTTCCGCTCGCATCGCGCGCGGCGTCAAAATTTGGCGAAAATGCGTAGCATTTTCGGCCGCAGGCGGAGCCTGCACATCATCCACGGCTCCGACGACGTTCTCCGGGCCGTCGCGCGGCGTCGCCATGGCAAATAGCGCCGCCGAAGCCGGCCGAAGCAGCGATCCGGCGAGGCACCGCGGCGAATCTTCTGCGTCCCCGGAATTAATTCCCTCGCGGATGCGCTCTCTCGAGCACACGACCTGAGCGTCCGCGCACTCGGTCGGCCCCCGGGGGCGCCGCGGTCGACGCGCTCTCCGCTCACAGCTTATTGCATGCCCACCTGGTGGGAGTGCTGGCTGGACGAAGGTAAGCTAGTTATCCCCGCCGGGGGTGCGGGTCTTCACATGCCAGGTTTTTGGACCAGTCGACTGGCTGATTTTAGGAGTCCCTAAAGCGTTTTTGGACCAGTCGGCTGGCTGCTTTTGGGCGTCCCTAAAGCGTCGCCCGGGGCCAGTCGGCCCTCACGACGGGCCGGGACTGGAACAAGTCGGTTCGATGAGGCCGTTTCGCTCTCGCCTCACGCGTCGCGCATAATGAGAGACTTATCATCGCCGTTGCAGGGCCATGAGCACCGCTCAAATGATCATACTCGCGCGAGCGCGCGCTTCGGACGTTGCATATCCAAATACATGCTTCACCTGCACGAGAATCTAACTCTTGGCTTCGGACAATTGGTTTGCCGGGAGCAAACGATTAAAAAAATCTAACTTCCGGCCTAACTAGCGGACGGAACGAGAACCTTTTAAGACGAAGCTATGGTTCGAGCGTCTTTATCAGCCCCCAACCACGCGATAATGCGGAATCATGCAACGATCCCAGTAGCTTCGAGCTCCGCTAGTGTGAGCCTGACGCACGTGCGCAGACGCGAAGTGCTGCCGGTCGCGTGGTGACTCGAACCGTCCTTCGGGGGCTGGGATGGGGCGCGTTTGATCCCCTCGACCCCATTTTGATGTCTATCGACCTCTCGCAGCATCGGAGATCGTATATCACCATCCCCAGTCAATTCCCTTCAGTAGGGCTGGGTTGGTCGGTCGTCGCCGCCGCCGCCGCCGCCGCCGTCGCCGCCGCCGCCGTCGTCGTCACGCGCGCGTGGAAATTCGAACCCACAATCAAGGGCCGCGGACGTCCGGAGATAGCATTTCAATTCCACCCGGGAAGGGCGAATTCGTACATAAACCACACGAAGCGACCGTCGACCGAGGGGCTGCCCCGTTCGACGTGAAGGTGTCCACCTGACAACCGCGTAACGCGACGCGCGCATGATCTCGTGGACGCTGAGACGCACTGTACCGTTACGCGGTTGTCAGAGCGACTCCGGACCCTCCCCCGGGGCCCCGGTCGCAGCCCATAACGTGCGCAGCGGCGCTTCAACGCGATTCAATTCAGCGTCCGGGGGTTAGTACAGCACTTTCGCGATAAAATGAGCGTTGAGGCAAATCGGGAGCAATCGATCAATCGACCGACCTTGGAATCGACCGACGGCCGACCAACGCGCGCGATGGGCGGGGACCGGCAGGCCTATGAGGCGGTGCAGATCCGCGGGTATTGGTTCCAGCATGCCATTCCGGATAATAATATATTAGGTATTGGTTCCATCTTGCTTATAGGCATATTGGTTCCAGCATGCGTATGGAGATATTGATTCCATCATGCATATCCGCGGGTATTGGTTCCAGCATGCCATTCCGGATAATAATATATTAGGTATTGGTTCCATCTTGCTTATAGGCATATTGGTTCCAGCATGCGTATGGAGATATTGATTCCATCATGCATATCCGCGGGTATTGGTTCCAGCATGCCATTCCGGATAATATAAATAGTGATACTATCGATCAAATGATGATAGCTAATAGAACCCCTATTCGTACGACCCTCTGCGACCTCCAGGTGCTCTGGGGCAGCCCCGGCATCATTGGGGTTTTGCTTCGCTTCTTGGATCTATCGAGCATCACCTCTCTCCCAGCGTTGGCGCAGCGTTTCGCGGCGGATCACTCGCGTGTGCTTTTCATGCTCGCCCGGGCCACACCTACTCTCGAGCGACGCCTCATGGAAGTGCTGTCTGATAACGGCTACGATGCCGTCCGATTTCGGCAGCGGTGGGAAGGCCCGCTTCGTGCGAACTGGATGCGCGACGACGCGGAGCAGGATGGACACGGTCGTGTTCCCCCTGTGGACATCCGTAAACGACGATCGGGATCTGGGCCTTGCTTCTTGTCTATAACCCATGGTGGACTGGTTTGGCCGGTAACAGGTTCCAGGAATTGTGTGACGCGGTTCAAGGCTCTGTTTCGTTATGGCGACCTCGACGCCGGCGCGCCCTCGTTTGAGCTAGCGTCGCG